TCGCTGGTTAATATTGGCCACGTTATCTATCGACTGACTGTACCCAAGGACAAAACAAAATTGCGATTATCTAGGCCAAAAATCGCGACAGGCTCGTCAGGCAAAAGAATAGGATAAGTTTCCATAAACGAAATGGGCGCTGATAATCGCTTATTGGGCGCTTTTTCGGCGCTTTTTTATAAATAACCGTTTATGATCGATTTTTTTACGATTATAAACGGCTCACAAAAAATCGCTTATAATCGACTATAATTGATGTAATAATTCAAAAAAGCGGTTTTTTTAATATAAAAGCGCTTATAAGCGCTTAAATAAGCGATCATAAGTCCCCACAAACGATTTGAAAGCGATTTTCCAGTAGGATTGGCGGTAAAACGTGGTGGATAAGCGGTCGGCCAGATAAGCGATTCGTAGGCGCTTTTTTGAACCATTTATAAGCGAATATAAGCGCTTATTAGCGGGTTGCAATTTAGCTGTTTGTAAAGCGCTATAAAAGCGCAAGTATAAGCGGTTTTTTATTCAGTCAGAAAAACGCTATTTTACATCTTATAACCGCTCATAATCGATTATAATCGCTTTTTTAAAAATCGCTTATTACGGCTCATTCATCGCTTTTTTACCGCTTTTTACCGCTTTTCGTATCATCCAGGGCCAGGTGGGCAGGAATTAAAAAGCGCTCATAAGCGCTTTTTCGATGCTGCCCCTAACCTGGTCGGAACGGGGGGAGTGCCCGGAATTAAAAAGCGCTTATAAGCGCTTTTTCAATGCTGCCCCTAACCTGGTCGGAACGGGGGAGTGCCCGGAATTAAAAAGCGCTTATAAGCGATTTCTCAATTCCCCTTAACCTGGTCGGAACTGGAGAGTGCCCGCTTATACGTGCTTTTCTGAGCAACCTGGGGTCCACCGGCAGAGTCAGGATTTAAAATCGCTTATAGGCGCTTATGATCGCTTTTCTAACGCTTTTCCTATCACCCATTGCCTGGTTGGCAGGAATTAGAAAGCGCAAATAAGCGCTTTTTCAATGCCCCTAACCTGGTCGGAACGGGGGAGTGCCCAGAATTAAAAAGCGCTTATAAGAGCTTTTTCAATGCTACTCAACCTGGTTGGATTTGAAATGGGTGAGTGCCGGAATTAAAAAGCGCTTTATCATTGCCCCTCAATTAACCTTGGAACGGGAGAGTCAAGTTTTTCGGAGGTCGTTCGGGCGCCGGTCGGAGGTCGTTCGGGCGCCGGTCGGAGGTCGGTTGGGCGCCGGTCGGAGCTCGGTTGGGCGCCGGTCGGAGGTCGGTCAGCGACTTTGAGGGGAACATTTGTGTTTTTTCCAGCGAAAACGTTTTTCGCATCACCGTTTATCATAAGCATCTCGACTATAGCACCTGTATTCAGACTACTAAATCAGGCGGAATATTCGACGTTTGAACTCGGAACAGACATGAACTGAAATTGTTCAATTTTTCGGACTATATATCCTTCCCTGGTCTTATGCAATATGCATGGTTTAGTGTAGGGTTGCCAACCGATATTACCGGGCGATAATTATCGGCGATAATTTCCCATAAACCGTTATCGATTATCGCGATAATTTTCGATAATTATCGCGATAATCAACCAATTTTTATTATGGTAAAATGGCCACATTTAGCATATTTTTCGAATCTATTTCTCTGTTTGTATTAACTAAAGTTGAAACCCAGTGCTAGCATAATTTGCAGTGTGATACTGATGGTATGCTGACGTGCTGTGTAGTATGTAATGTGTATGAATTTGTGGCAGTGAAAATTGAAATGTTGCGTTATCGCATCTAATAAGTAACTTGGAGCTGAGGTTGTTATATGGTCCACCCGTATTCACACTCCGACCTGAGTTTAGTCATTTTCCGATACGAGATTGGGGACGGGTTCTATAAACTATCAACAAACATATGGTCAGACGTATTTATTGTTGTTTGTTAAAGCACGGAAAGGAACTCAGACTGCAACGAGACTACAAAACCTGTTGGAGCTCAGTGTGCAGTATGTTGGAGAGATATAACCGGATAACTGATGCAGTGCACAGAATTTTAGATGACTTGGAGCTAGGCAATCTAAAGCTGGATGCAGGAGAGACTGAGTTAGCTAAAGAGTAAAGACATAACCAAGACTCTCGCACCGTTCAAGAATGTAACTGAGTTTTTGTGTAAAAGAGAAAGCATGCTCGCTCAAGCAGAAGTGATTATTTAGTTTATTGACAGTAATTAAGCTCGGGAAAATGGGTCAAACTTAATCCTTGTCATGTCCACCTGTAGGTTCCACCAGGATCTCGAATTTATAACGTTCATTAGTATAGTAGTATAGTGACACTTGAATTCCACGAACTTTAGTTGTCGATCTTTAGTACGTAAATCGTCCGATAGTTAGTGAGAAGAGGAGCAATTTGGTTTACAATAGCTCAAAGCTATCAAGATAAGCTCGAAATGATTCGACTTCGAATGAAATCTACTGGAAATCCATTCATCATGAACTTGAATCAAGATAGGATTTCTATCGTGGGAATAGCTACCAGAGCTGAGGTATGGAACTATGATCATTATTTATTATTAGAAACCCTGGCACCGGTCATATCCGGTGGTTTTACATTTACGAGCCGACTAGCTCCTAGACACCTATTGACAGCCTGACAGGGTGGCTCACTCAATTTTGAACTGTGACACGTCCAAATTCCATGGTAAATTGGGGTTTTGATGTAGTAACCAGATTCATTATAAATAACATGTATGTCATGATAATCAATATGCCCATCAGCTGGTTAGGTGAGTGTGTAAAAAATATGCAATAAATTGTAGGTTTACTGATCACCAGCCTCACGGAGCTAGCTCTATGAGGCTGGTCAACAAACCAGCAGGACAATAAGAAAATGTAAAATTTGCCCCGTCAATATGTCTCAGCGAACCTTAACATTAGTCGAAATATTCTCCTTAGCATCGCGAGGCTATTATTAACAAAGAAGCTTAAAATTGTGTATAACAGAATAACTTGATGAACGTATGTATATTGTATAAACGCTTCACACCACTCTATATTTGCCGTACGGATGCCAATTATGGATCGCTTCCCCCTGGTTTAAAGTCCTGACTGAAGATTGATTAAAAATGGAATTGTCAACTAAGACGATAAATGGGGAAGGAATTTAACCAGGCAACTATTTATTTGCTTCACTATGCAGTATGCACCTATGCAGTATGCACCCTGTTAGCGTTCACGTGCACCCTCTCAGTTTCTCATTTGATCTCATGCAGATGCGGCAGAGGTGCCGACCAGAGTAACAGGTCACTGTTAGAACAGTGATTATTGAACGTATGATAGATAACAACCGATACTAAAGCAGTGGATCTAAATGTCACCTGGTCAAACCCGGGGTGAAATATTTACATTAAGCGTCCCAACGGCTCCTGGCACAGTACATGGTAGAACCTGGTTAGCACGGGAAATTGGGTCAAACTTAACCCTAATTGTCATATCCTCCTGTAGGTTTTACTTAATGAATTTACAAAATTCACCAGTGTAGTAATTATAGTAATAGTATTGTGACACTTGAAAGTCACGAACTTAAGTTGCTCAAAGCTATCAAGATTAGGGTTACTAAATACTAACCGATATTATCGAGGAAAATTTCCCAAAAATCTTTATAGATTATCACGACAATTTTCGAGAATTACCGCGATAATCAACCAATTTTTATTATGGTAAAATGGCCAAAATTTAACACATTTTTTGTATCTATTTCTCTGTCTGTAAAGTTAAAACCCAGTGCTACTGCTAGCATAATTTGCAGTGTGATGGTATGTGCGTATGAATTTGTGGCAGTGAAGATTGAAATTTTGCGTTATCGCATCTAGTAAGTAACTTGGAGGTTGTATGGTCAGACGTAGTTATTGTTGTTTATTGAAGCACGGAAAGGAACTCAGACTGCAACGAGACTACAAAACCCGTTGGAGCTCGGTGTGCAGTATGTTGGAGAGATATAACCGGATAACTGATGCAGTGCACGGAATTTTAGATGACTTGGAGCTAGGCTGGATGCAGGAGACACTGAGTTAGCAAAAGACATTACCAAGACTCTCGCACCGTTCAAGACCATAGTTGGTTCGTGCGCCATTTTTTCGGGAAAAGTGCGTGAAGTGTGTTCATTTTTTTTCGTGCTTTAAAGTGCGTTCTCCGTTGGCACATTTATACAATTAAAACAACAGATCATAAAATATTAGCAAAAAATTAAGTACAAAGGTTGCAATGTTACATCTTACTCTTAGCATAGGAGCATAATTCAAATATGCAGAGTGTATACAAATATTACTTGACAAATTAATCGCCGATAACCGATAAAATCGCGATAATTTTGAAAAGTTTATCGATTATCGCGATAAAAAATGTTGTACCGATAATGGCAACCCTAGTTTAGTGGATTGTCCAATAGAGGTCCACCGGAGCCCTAATTACCAACATGATCAATAGCCGCCCTACCGTTTAACCAGCTATTAAACAATTATAACTGTAGCTGAGGGTGAACACTATACCTTGAACTGCACATGGTAGTGGGTCATGAGATGAAAATATATCTTTTTATTGTAATATTTTTAAGTGAAATTACTCCATTTCAAGCGTTTATAATTTACATGGAAGATAATTTGAACTTTCCATTCAGATGATAGAGTTTTAAACGGTTATCATAGTCAAAGTCACCAATTAGACGCTGCTTAGACGGCAATTTCTATTTGTGAGCCCGAAGTAGCTTCACTATAAAGCTACAAAAGGTTTACCCGTTATAACTTTATTAAAATGAAAATAGTGGCAGGGCCACTCCTCCACTCGCTTGACGACTGCTCAGACTATCTTCTATGAACTATAATCCAGGTATAATATTATATATGCTACAATCTACATTAATGATATTCGGTTAATAAGCCAGATTTGCTAATTATTTCCTAAATATTTCCTAAATTTATCCATTTATTAACAGCTATTCATGAAGCAAATTGGGACATTAAATTCTTTGCTATACGAGTAAAACCTTAAGAAATTGGAAACGGAAGTACTATCGATTTAGAAGTCTCGGTTAAGCACATAATTTTCGTCTTTTTGAGAATCATGTCCTGTTGAATCTGCCCTTTTCGTGTGATCAGCTAAATCTTTGTTTTCAGTGTTCAAAAATACCGATGCCATCAGTTGTACCGCTGCCGCCCCAACAAACAAGCTCACCACAGATTCCGGACTTACTGGATACAATAAGTACGTGAGGAAACTGCCAACTGTGCCACCAGCGTCCCCAAGAGAGTGTATGAAGGTTGAAGCTGTGCTTCTGAGGACGGTAGGATAACATTCCAGGGTCATAAGATATATTCTATACCGTAACCCAGTTCCAACCAAGCGAAGTAGCATGTTCAAGATCATCTTCACGGTTTGATTTAAATCGAAAAAGCCTGCTATGGTGCATAACAGAGCTAGTAAAGAGAAGCCGATGACGATGAATTTCCGACCCACCCTCTTTGCAAGAAATCCTGATAAGAGAACCCCAAGGACGTCCCCAAAAAAAGCTACAATATTTCCTGCCAGAGCTTTCTTGTCAAGGATATTTTGGCATGAAGTATCATTTGCAGAGTAAATGTTCTGACTTTCTTTTGTATTCTCTGAAGCGAGAGGAAGGTATGCCGCAAATGCTAAGGATATGTAAAAGTTTGCGAACAATGTTGTTGTCAGAAGTATGGTGGGCTTTCTGTATTCGAAACTAAATATGTCCAGCAACTTTCCAGCTTTTTCGACAATATCAGACTTTTTAATAGATACACAGTTTTTTGGAAAAACGTCTCCATTCCACTCATAGATTTTCTTTAACGACTGTATTGCCTCTTCACCTTTCCCATGAACTAGCAAGTAACGTGGGGTTTCTGGACACATGATCAGGCCTATGAGAATGACAATAAACGGACATGAAATCACTGCCACCACATACCGCCATCCTATATTGTTGATAGCAAAGTAGGAGACTGTGGACAAGAATACCCCTCCGAACTGCCCGAGATACACGATCATGACAGCTAGCTCTTTGTTGTTGGAAGCAGTGATTTCTACAGAATAGACAAAGCAAACAGGATAGGCAATACCAGTACAAATCCCTTGTATTATAAGAGCAACCAGCAGGACCCAAACGTTTGGTGAAACAACAATCATGATGGAGCCAATTGCCAAGAACACGGTTGTTACCAATAAGACCATTCTCCTTCCAACTTTATCAGCAAGATTACCAGCTACAACTCCACTCACTGCAACTGACATAGGTAAAGCTGATCCAACAGCCACTTCAACCCAGGTGTTAAAACCCCACTCACAGCGTAGATAGGGAATGAGAATAGTTGTCATGAAGTATATAGACAGATGCACCAAGGCGATGAGAAACTGAAGCCCCCACAGAAAGAATTGAGTTTTGCCTAATCCTGATCCTTGAAAAAGCTCATCAAGGTTCATTTCATGTCCATCACTCCTCTTTATTTTCGCCTCTTGTTCACTAAGTTTAGATGATTTAGATGGTGACGCAAAAATTTTCTTTATGTAACTCATCATGAGTTTTCCTAATCCCATTTGGTAACTGAAGTAAGTAGTACATCAAATAGTGAACTAAAACCATCACAAAGGGAGAAAAAAAGAAATCGGGGAAAGGAGAAATATTACGGAATATTTAACAGCTAAGTTGTTATGGACTGTTGATTTTGGAATAAAACGTTTTAACGTCCATAACACCTAAGGTAAACAGCATCATGCAACTCAAAATAGTTGTAGGGATAAAAAAGTAATGACCACATGGAAGATTAAAAGCAATTTATCACGGAAGTTCATCAGAGGCAACATATAAAAGCGGTGGGTGCGGAATCTCACTATTTACCTAATACTGCACTTTTTTACGCCTTCGTGTTAACTCTTTATTTCGTAGTTTAGTACGCTGGTGTAAATATACTTTTTACTTGACAAAAGGGATCTAAACAGACTCTTCTTCATGATAATGTTACACGAATTATGAATTATAGTCATGGATCTGAGAATATTCCCGTATAAAAGTCTTCCGCTCCGAGGTTTGAGACCTGGAACGGCTCAAGGGACCCCTCAGAAACAAATTTGGCTTGGGTAGACTTTCTGAATATGGGGCAGTTTTGCGCAATTGACCACGCCCTTTTTTGGCGCTTTCGCGACTTTCAAATAAAAATAAATCCGCTTCTAATTAGAATCAGGTTGTTGAGTTATGTGACCACACCCTTTTTTTGCTCTCGCGAGTTGTTATTTGCACACTAAATACGAGATATCTCGGCTACTGATTGAGCTAGGTGCTCATCCTGGGCACTAAAATGTTCGGAATCATCATATTAACTAGGGTCGAGCACAATTTCAAAATCCTCGGACGTCAGGTTGTTGAGTTATTAGGCAAACACCTATTTTTACGCAGTCGCGAGTAGCGATTGCCCCACATCCAGAAAGTTAAAAATTTCCTCGCAGATACAAATTTTCTGCTTTTTTGTTGCTTCGCTCGCGAATTTTCCACTTTCGCAATGTCGGCGAGTGAAACAGGACAGTTCTTAAGCATTTGGAGCTAGGCCCCAGAAAATGTTTAATGGCCACACTAAAACCTTCAAAATAGTATGTTACAAAATGGCTTTCTCCTATACTACAACCCAGTTACAAAATGACCCACAAGTAAAGCATGGCCAGCTTGCACCATCTGTCTTAGTTATCACAAATTATTATATGTGCCTTGCAGAGTAGAGGCAACCATATCCTGAGAAATGTAGAGTGCATACTTTCAACTTTGTGCACACTTTCGCACAGACAGGAATTGAAGATATGTTTGCGGTTTTCCGCAGCCAAAAATTCTTGATGATTTTCCCACACAGAAGGCCTAAAAGCAATTTGGCAATAGAGATCATTTTCAAACACAGTTTCAAAAACGATTAACTAGATTGTTAGTATAGTTTAAGATTAGGGAGCGACAGGATCGTCAGGCAAAATAATAGCATCTATATTAATAATCTTTAGTGTGTTAGCCAAGGAATAGTGTTAAGATCTAAACAGACTCTTCTTCATGATGCCCACGATCGACACGTACATTGTTGAGTTAGAAAACGGTAAAAGGTACGTGGCTGTTTATTTCGGTATTGTGCCCACAAAACTCTGACGAAGCACAAGAGCCTAAGTTTTTTAATCGGCCGGTGATAAGTGGTTTAATTGATGATTTTGTGACCCAAATGTCTCTCCCTCTTATCTCTCCTACTGTCTCTCTCCCATACTCGACAGATATGCTGTATCAAGTATTACTAGTAGATACGTGAGGAGCACTCAGAATTGAATTGAAGTATGCTTTGACTGAGTGATTTCATACTTTTGCACCGTTTTAACTACCAAAATAAATGTAATGGGTTTTTAGAATACAATAGGCGGGTTTAAACTTTTGCATTTCAACTCCGATAGTGAAGTCCCGGACGTAGGCCTTGCTTACACTAGTATAACATTATCTCGAATATATTATTGCTATCAAACAGCATACTGGAAGCTATATTGATTCAAGCTGTAACTTACTCGTTGTTACACGAATTATGAATTAGGGATACACTGGTTCATAGGATTAGAGAAATGACAATTGCTAGTTGGTTTGTGTGTAGATAGAAGGTCTGTGCGGTTTCTAGTGATAATAGAAAATTATTATAATTATTACGCAAGAATTATTGTAAAAGTTATGTTTATATAGAAACATAATCATTATAATTATTACGCAAGAATTATTGTAAAAGTTATGTTTATATAGAAACAAGGACAGTAACTTACATATCGAGGGCCGAGGCACTCTTCTTGTACTCCAGTAGCAGGGAGGTGTTGAGTGTGCACTTCGATGTATAGAGTTTTTTGCTATTGAATCGGGTTAAATAGGTCATTGGTAACTCAAATCACCGAGGGGGGAATTTTGTGTCGCTAGTCCCAACCCTGTGGAGCCACGCCCATATTTCATATCAGGTGCGTATATGGGAAATATGTATCTCAGCTTCTGAAGGTCTTAGAGACTCAAATTTGAGTTTAAAATGACCGCAATACACATGTTTATATTAGTACTATGAAGGTCATGAAAGCCCAAAATGCTTATTTTTGGAAAAAATTCAGAAAAACCGATTTTCACTTGAGCGTGAGTAAAAAAATCTACTCTAGAAATTTAGTGAAAATCTAGTAAGCAGTTCAGTGTCTACAAGATTTATAAACACAGGGTCCTCTGTTAGGTCATTCTGAATTAGAATTGATAAAGTAAGCAAATTCTATAAGTAGTTTCAACCCTGTGGAGCCACGCCCATATTTCATATCAGGTGCGTATATGGGAAATATGTATCTCAGCTTCTGAAGGTCTTAGAGACTCAAATTTGAGTTTAAAATGACAGCAATGCACATGTTTATATTAGTACTATGAAGGTCATGAAAGCCCAAAATGCTTATTTTTGGAAAAAATTCAGAAAAACCGATTTTCACTTGAGCGTGAGTAAAAAAATCTACTCTAGAAATTTAGTGAAAATCGAGTAAGCAGTTCAGTGTCTACAAGATTTCTAAACACAGGGTCCTCTGTTAGGTCATTCTGAATTAGAATTGATAAAGTAAGCAAATTCTATAAGTAGTTTCAACCCTGTGGAGCCACGCCCATATTTCATATCAGGTGCGTATATGGGAAATATGTATCTCAGCTTCTGAAGGTCTTAGAGACTCAAACTTGAGTTTAAAATGACCGCAATGACCATGTTTATATTAGTACTATGAAGGTCATGAAAGCCCAAAATGCTTATTTTTGGAAAAAATTCAGAAAAACTGATTTTCACAAGCAAAAAATCTACTCTAGAAGTTAAGTGAAATCGAGTGTGAAGTTCAGTGTCTAAAACGTTTCTAAACATAGGATCCTTTGTAAGATCATTCTGAATCAGAATTGATAAGGTATGCAAATTCTATTAGTAGTTTTAACCCTAGGGTGCAAAACTCCTAAATTACCCCCAGGCGCAAATATATGACTTTTCTATCTCGGCTTCTGAACGTTGTAGGGGCCTCTCTTTGAGAGCTCAAACTAACTACAATGGCCACATTTATATACCGACTATAAAGCACAAAGCAACTTAGGGTCTATACAGCTTAGAAATTCATTAAAAACTTGTTTAACCTTCATGCATCATCTCTAGTATCTGCCCAGCTACCACCAGTGCGTTATGATTTTAGATCTTTCTAGCAACCTCTGATATGAATGCTACCTCTTCCTCTATCCAGCTACTATACCACCAATTCCAGCTGTTTTCACCTACTTCGGCTACTATCTCTTTAGCTACCACCAAGGTTCCTCCAACTTCTGCTATTTCTAGCAATCTTAGCTTAGGTTAGTGGACTACTTCTTGCCCTATTTAGCAACCATCAGAAAAATGTCCTCTTCCTTAATGAGCTGGAAATTGTTGGATGCAGCGGAGGTAGCACTCATATCAGATGTTATAAGATCTAAAATTATAACGTATGGTGGTAGCTGGGTAGAGTTGACCTGGAGTTAGCAGAAGGCAGCTAGAAGTAGATTCTGCTACATGAGGTTGGATTCAAGTTGATTAGCCATAAAAGCCGAGCAGTACTGGAGAGAGCCCCATAGAGGGAGCTGAAGGCAGCCTTCTGAAACTGAGTATTTTCGCAGTTATACCAAAATTAAAGTTAGGTGGTATGTGCTGCTCCGTAAATGTTATCCTAATGTGTTTATGTTGAACGTTTTACTGTGCTGCAAATATCTTTTTAGCCCGAGATATCATTATTAAGTACATGTTTGATCATATTACTATTTTATGATGCATGAAGGTTAAAAGTAGTAGTAAACCCGCGATGGGGTGGCATGTGCCTCAATCAAAATATTACAATCATTTATTATTATATCAATTTATCATTAAATATTTCAAGATCATCAATAACGTATGGTTGATCCTTCACACTTGGTAAAATATATAAAAATAAAGTTAATCTACACTAAAGAATAAATAATCTATATTATATAAATCAACAATATTAACTCCCCATCTTCTTGTAGTAATTTATCAAAGCGGTAGAAATCCAAGTAATTTTAGTACGCGGTGCGCAAAACAGTTTTTAATGAATTTCTATAAACTAAGCTATATAGACCCTATGTTGCTTTATAGTCGGTATATAAATGTGGCCATTTTAGTTAGTTTGAGCTCAAAGAGAGGCCCCTACAACGTTCAGAAGCCGAGATAGAAAAGTCATATATTTGCGCCTGGGGGTAATTTAGGAGTTTTGCACCCTAGGGTTAAAACTACTAATAGAATTTGCATACCTTATCAATTCTGATTCAGAATGATCTTACAAAGGATCCTATGTTTAGAAACGTTTTAGACACTGAACTTCACACTCGATTTCACTTAACTTCTAGAGTAGATTTTTGCTTGTGAAAATCAGTTTTTCTGAATTTTTTCCAAAAATAAGCATTTTGGGCTTTCATGACCTTCATAGTACTAATATAAACATGGTCATTGCGGTCATTTTAAACTCAAATTTGAGTCTCTAAGACCTTCAGAAGCTGAGATACATATTTC